TTATTAATTATTAATATTACTTATTAATCGACTGGTGGTTCCGCACGCGGACCGCGCAGGAGCTGCAGCAGCGCGTGGACTACCTGTCGCAGCTGATCGAGGCGGAGATCGACGAGATCGAGGCCCCTCCGCGTAACGGCGCCTAGGACCAAGTCCAGAGCTTGTGAGTGGCTCACCAGTCGTTTGCCGGTAGGCCGCCGACGACGCCGACGGCCGGAAGCGCAAGGGCGGCGCCGCGAAGGGGCCGCCGGTCAAGAAGGCGCGACGCTGAGAACGGCGCGTCGGCTGGCGGGCTTTTGCCGCCCTTCATCTCTCGCGCGCGGCGGTTCACCCCGCACCCCGGGAGACCGCCGCGCAGAGACCAGACGCAGAGTCGAGTAAGTGCTAGGTTTTGTGGCATCATGTCAGCTGAATATTGCTGAACACTACCATATGCAAAAAGAATCTTAATTTCGCCGTCAACCCGCTCTGGCGGCGCTGCGCGCCACGTGGAGGGCGCGGCGCGTGCGTAGGAGCACGTGCTGCACACGCACCGCGAAGGCCGTCTCACGAGTCGGCGAGCCGAGCCCTATTCATAGCAGAGAGTGTGAACGGCGCCTCTTCACACCTCGAGCCGTGAACACCGTCCGGCGTCTTCTCACCGGCCCAAGGGCGCTCCGCGCCTTGCTACAGCGCCGATCGTGCAGCGCAGCACACGCGCGACACGCCACTCGCACGGCGTCTGATGAGTCGGCGCCTCGAGCCCTATCCGAGTCGAAAAGTGTGAGAACCGTCATTTCACACCTCGAAACCGCTAAGTCATTTTTTCGCCGTCAAGCCGCTCTAGCGGCGCTGCGCGCCGCAAAGAGAGCGCGGCGCGTGCAGAGGAGCACACACTGCACACGCACGGTGAAGGCCGTCTCACGAGTCGGCGAGCCGAGCCCTATTCATAGCAAAGAGTGTGAACGGCGCCTCTTCACACCTCGAGCCGTGAACACCGTCCGGCGCCTTCTCACCGCCCCAAGAGCGCTGCGCGCCGTGCTAACGGCGCCGAGCGTGCAGCGCAGAACACGCGCGACACGCCCATCGCACGGCGTCTGATGACCCGGCGCCTCGAGCCCTATCCGAGTCGAAAAGTGTGAGAACCGTCATTTCACACCTCGAAACCGCTAAGTCATTTTTTCGCCGTCAAGCCGCTCTAGCGGCGCTGCGCGCCGCAAAGAGAGCGCGGCGCGTGCAGAGGAGCACACACTGCACACGCACGGTGAAGGCCGTCTCACGAGTCGGCGAGCCGAGCCCTGTTCATAGCAAAGAGTGTGAACGGCGCCTCTTCACACTTCGAGCCGTGAACACCGTCCGGCGCCTTCTCACCGGCCCAAGGGCGCTGCGCGCCGTGGTAACGGCGCCGAGCGTGCAGCGCAGCACACGTGCGACACGCCACTCGCACGGCGTCTGATAAAACGGCGCCTGGAGCCCTATCCGGGTCGAAAAGTGTGAGAACCGTCATTTCACACCTCGAAACCGCTAAGTCATTTTTCCGCCGTCAAGCCGCTCTAGCGGCGCTGCGCGCCGCAAAGAGAGCGCGGCGCGTGCAGAGGAGCACACACTGCACACGCACGGTGAAGGCCGTCTCACGAGTCGGCGAGCCGAGCCCTATTCATAGCAAAGAGTGTGAACGGCGCCTCTTCACACCTCGAGCCGTGAACACCGTCCGGCGCCTTCTCACCGCACCAAGGGCGCTGCGCGCCGTGGTAACGGCGCCGAGCGTGCAGCGCAGCACACGTGCGACACGCCACTCGCACGGCGTCTGATGACCCGGCGCCTGGAGCCCTATCCGGGTCGAAAAGTGTGAGAACCGTCATTTCACACCTCGAAACCGCTAAGTCATTTTTTCGCCGTCAACCCGCTCTGGCGGCGCTGCGCGCCACGTGGAGAGCGCGGCGCGTTCGTAGGAGCACGTGCTGCACACGCACCGCGAAGGCCGTCTCACCAGTCGGCGAGCCGAGCCCTATTCATAGCAAAGAGTGTGAACGGCGCCTCTTCACACCTCGAGCCGTGAACACCGTCCGGCGCCTTCTCACCGGCCCAATGGCGCTCCGCGCCTTGCTACAGCGCCGATCGTGCAGCGCAGCACACGCGCAACACGCCACTCGCACGGCGTCTGATGACCCGGCGCCTCGAGCCCTATCCGAGTCGAAAAGTGTGAGAACCGTCATTTCACACCTCGAAACCGCTAAGTCATTTTTTCGCCGTCAAGCCGCTCTAGCGGCGCTGCGCGCCGCAAAGAGAGCGCGGCGCGTGCAGAGGAGCACACGCTGCACACGCACGGTGAAGGCCGTCTCACGAGTCGGCGAGCCAAGCCCTATTCATAGCAAAGAGTGTGAACGGCGCCTCTTCACACCTCGAGCCGTGAACACCGTCCGGCGCCTTCTCACCGCCCCAAGGGCGCTGCGCGCCGTGCTAACGGCGCCGAGCGTGCAGCGCAGCACACGCGCGACACGCCCCTCGCACGGCGTCTGACAAATCGGCGTCTCGAGCCCTATCCGAGTCGAAAAGTGTGAAAATCGTCTCTTCACACCTCGAAACCGCTAAGTCATTTTTTCGCCGTCAAGCCGCTCTAGCGGCGCTGCGCGCCGCAAAGAGAGCGCGGCGCGTGCAGAGGAGCGCGTGCTGCATACGCACCGCGAAGGCCGTCTCACGAGTCGGCGAGCCGAGCCTGTTCAAGTCATAAAGTGTGAACGGCGCCTCTTCACACCTTTAGCCGTGAACGCCGTCCGGCGCCCTCTCGCCGCCCCAACGGCGCTCCGCGCCTCGCCAGCAGCGCCAAGCGTGCAGCGCAGCACACGCGCAGCACGCCCCTCGCACGGCGGCTGATGAATCGGCGCCTCGAGCCCTACCCGAGCCGAAAAGTGTGAGAACCGTCTTTTCACACCTCAAAGCCGCTAAGTCTTTTTTTCGCCGTCAAGCCGCTCTAGCGGCGCTGCGCGCCGTTTGGAGAGCGCGGCGCGTACAGAGGAGCGCGTGCTGCAAACGCACCCCGAAGGCCGCCTCATGAGCCGGTGAGCCGAGCCCTGTTCATAGCATGAAGTGTGAACGTCGTCTCTTCACACCTAAGCACCGTGAACGCCGTCCGGCAACTTCTCACCGCCCCAAAGGCGCTCCGCGCGATACTAACAGCGCCGAGCGTGTAGCGCAGTACACGCGCGACGCGCCCCTTGGACGGCGTCTGATAAAACGGCGCCTCGAGCCCTACCCGAGCCGAAAAGTGTGAGAACCGTCTTTTCACACCTCAAAGCCGCTAAGTCTTTTTTTCGCCGTCAAACCGCTCTAGCGGCGCTGCGCGCCGCGTGGAGGGCGCGGCGCGAAGGGAGGAGCACGCGCTGCACACGCACCGCGAAGGCCGTCTCTTGCGTCGGCAATCCGCGCCCTATTCACAGAATAAAGTGTGAACGGCGCCTCTTCACACCTCGAGCCGTGTACGCCGTCCGGCGCCTTCTCGCCGCCCCAAGGGCGCTCCGCGCCTCGCAAACAGCGCCGAGCGTATAGCACAGCACACGCGCAGCACACCCACTGAGCGCCATCAGTAAAACGGCGTCTCAAGCCCTATTCGAGTCGAAAGGTGTGAAATTCGTCTCCACACCTCCAAACCGCTAAGTCTTTTTTTCGCCGTCAAACCGCTCTAGCGGCGCTGCGCGCCGTGTGGAGAGCGCGGCGCGTACAGAGGAGCACGTGCTGCAAACGCACCGCGAAGGCCGCCTCGTGAGGCGGCGAGCCGAGCCCTGTTCATAGCAGAACGTGTGAACGGCGCCTCTTCACACCTCGAGCCGTGAACGCCGTCTAGCGCCTTCTCGCCGCCCCAAAGGCGCTCCGCGCCGCGCTATCAGCGCCAAACGTGTAGCACAACACACGTGCGACTCGCCCCGTGAACGGCGTCTGGACAAACGGCGCCTCGAGCCCTATCCGAGTCGAAAAGTGTGAGAACCGTCTTTTCACACCTCAAAACCGCTAAGTCTTTTTTTCGCCGTCAAGCCGCTCTAGCGGCGCTGCGCGCCGTGTGGAGAGCGCTGCGCGTGCGGAGGAGCACGTGCTGCACACGCACCGCCAAGGCCGCCTCGTGAGCCGGCGAGCCGAGCCCTGTTCATAGCATGAAGTGTGAACGGCGTCTCTTCACACCTAAGCACCGTGAACGCCGTCCGGCAACTTCTCACCGCCCCAAAGGCGCTCCGCGCGGTACTATTAGCGCCGTGCGTGCAGCGCAGCACACGCGCGACGCGCCCCTTGCACGGCGTCTGATAAAACGGCGCCTCGAGCCCTATCCGAGTCAAAAAGTGCGAGAATCGTCTCTTCACACCTCGAAGCCGCTAAGTCTTTTTTTCGCCGTCAAACCGCTCTAGCGGCGCTGCGCGCCGCGTAAAGAGCGCGGCGCGTGCAGAGGAACTCACGCTGCGTACGCACCGCGAAGGCCGTCTCTTGAGTCGGCGATCTGCGCCCTATTCACAGAATAAAGTGTGAACGGCGTCTCTTCACACCTCGACACCGTGAACGCCGTCCGGCGCCTTCTCGCCGCCCCAAGGGCGCTCCGCGCCGTGCTAACAGCGCTGAGCGTGCAGCGCAGCACACACGACGCACGCCCCGTGAACGGCGTCTGACAAAACGGCGCCTCGAGCCCTATCCGAGTCGAAAGGTGTGAATATCGTCTCTTCACGCGTCGAAGCCGCTAAGTCTTTTTTTCGCCGTCAAGCCGCTCAGACGGCGCTGCGCGCCGCGTTGAGAGCGCGGAGCGTACAGAGGGGCACACGTTGCGTACGCAGCGCGAAGGCCGTCTCGTGAGTCGGCGAGCCGTAGAAAAGATATGTTTTCTTTTTTCCCCTTGTTTTTTCATCGGATGGCACAACGGCGGAGTAGTTGTCAGTCTCTTGGCACTTCTCGAACATGTTTTTGAGCCATCTCGCCGCCGTTGGCGGAGCTGAGTGCCGCCGCGCACACGGCAAATGTCGCACTCCGTGGGAAACGTCGGCGGCAACGCCGGAAATCTTTTTTGAAATAAAACTCACCAGACAACAACGCCGTGTAAATGCCAACGAACCGTTTTGCGCTCCTAACCAACAGCAACACACACCCCGGCCGGAACTACTCGTCGGCGGATGTGGACCAGAGCGACGGCCCATCCGGCCCTCATGGGATGCCCGGCTTTGGCGCCGGCGACGACGCGTACGGCCACCCCGAGGGCCTCTTAGCGACGGCAACCGTCGTGCCGGTGGCGGTGCCGGACCCGGTGGCGGGCGTCTTACGCTTGCTGCACGGGGTGGTGGTGGCGCCTTGTGGCAGCGGCCCCGGAGGCGCGGCCGGTCGAGCCGGCGCTGACTCCTGACAAATGCGCACAATCTCGCTTCCGTAAGTGTTCATCTTGTCCATCCCGATGCCGTTGACGAGCTTGAGCTCATCGAGGCTCGTCGGGCAGCGGTCCGCAATCTTCTGCAGCACGGAGTCGTGCACGACGTGGTAGGGCTGAACCCCATCGGCCTGCGCCCGTTTCGCCCTGAAGGAGCGGAGCGCTGAGTAGAGGTTGCCTCCGCTTGCATCGCCGGCAGCCGTCTGCGGAGGCGCCGCGGGCCTTGGAGGAGGAGGGGCCGAGTTCGACGCTGGCTGCCGGGCGCCGCAGTTAACGAGCTCCGCGTACGCAGCGTGCGAGGTGTCGTGCATGTGTCGGATGCGCGACCGGATCGCGCCGTTGGTTCGGCCGAATCGCTTGGCCAGCCTCGCCACGACGGCGTTGACCTCCTGAGTACCGGGAAGCTCGCCATCAGCCTGCAGCTGCACGTGGCAAAGTGCGTGCCAGACCGCCTTGCTGTCGTCGAGAGGCCACTGGCCGGGCATTGCTGTCAACCGTGGCCGATTGGTGGCGCGAAGGGCGGCTGTCAGCTTACCGGCGAGAGCGCGAAAGAGAAATCGGAGCAGGCTTCGAGGAAATGAAAATTTATAAAGGAAGCTTGTTAAGGAGAGAATTTTTTTTTCTTTGCTTTGGCACGACGCCGGCTGGCGCTGTACGAGTTGCTCTCGCTCGCGGAGGAGCGTCGCAGTGTGCACCCACGCAACGCCTTCGCACGTCCACACCACACTCTGCGTAGCCATGGCATTTCACTCCGTGTGCGTGCGACTCGCACTCGCTCTCTTGCCCTCGCCGCCGCCTTCGCCGCCGCCGCCTTCGCCTCCGTGACTTCGGATCGCTTCCCCATTTCTCGCACTGCCTCGCTCGCCACGTTCGACAACAGTGCACCAGCGCTCGCTTTCTCTCGCTCCCACTCACGCTTCGTGCTTCGCTACTAGGTTCTTCGCATCTACTTGGAGTGGATAGCGTCTGCCGCCTCTCGCTGCTCTGTCCGCTCTGCCACCTCGATGCCGCGGTTGCGACGCTCTGATGCCACTCCCTAGATCGCAGCAGCTCCATCGCTCGTTGCACCAAGGAGCGATGACGAGGCGGCAGCATCGCATCGGCGGTGCCAGCCGTTGTCACGCTCGGCCATCTCCACCTCTCTCACCGCCGCCTCAGTCTTCGCCACCACGCGATCGCCTCCGGCGAGCCCGCAAGCACGAAGCCGGCTCTCCTCGCACTCGCGTCGCTCTCCGCCCCGGAGGGATGGCCAGTTAGGTCTAGCCAAAGTTGTGTGCGGTTAGGGTTAGCGGTTGCCGGAGCCGCGCACTCAAGTTAGGGTTAAAGACGTAGTAACACGCCGCGAGCGAGGGTTAAGCTAGGGTTATACGTCCCCCGTCCACGGCTCGACGGAGGGCTCAAAAATCGATAAAAAGGGCCCTCCCGCCAAAAAAATCGCGCGCTGCGCGCGCAGGAAGAGAGAGAGGGAGAGAGAGTTATTGCCGCCACCCGCACGTACAACTCTCGCCCGGGAGAAAGTTGACGAGCGGAGCGAGGCAACTTTCCCGGGGCGAGCGAGGCGCGCGCGAAAAACGCTGTTTTTGCCAAAACGGTGGAGGCCGCCCCGCGCTGCCGCCCCATCAAATCCGCACCGCCTGAAGCCCTCGGGAAGGCCCTCAAAACGTCGACGCGGGAGGGCGAAAATCGCCCCGCTTCAGAGCCCGCGCGAGGACGGACCCCACGCCGCCCCACGAGCGACCGGTTCGACCCGCGACCAACAGCCGTGCGGAGGATCGGCAGGAGACGTCCGCAGCCCCAAGGATCGTCCTCGTCCGATAAAACCACCGACCACCATAACCCTCCCCGCGCGCGCTGCGAATCTTCAGGCCCTCTGCTCGACTTTGGACGACCGACTTTATTTCGGGTGCTAAAGCAGCTCGCACGGGCCCGTCTCGCCGTCCCCGCCCCCGCCCGCCCCCGCGCGGCAGGCCCGGCGCCGCTCGCTTCCCCCGCGCACCTCACGGGGCGCCATGACACCGCCTGCCAGGCGGCCTGCAGACAGTGCGCACAGCAGCTGCTACATTCCTCGCCTCCCGACGGCCACGACGCCGCCCCACCGCCGAAGCTCGCAAAACCACGCACGGCCCCGTCCACACCGCTCACCGGACGCCCGCTCGCGCCGCCCGCGGACCCCTCTCCCGCCAAGCCCGCCCCCTCTCCTAGCCCCTCCCAGAAGCCGCCACACAGGCCTCGCCTCGCCTCGCACCAGCCCAAAAATGAAAAGGCGGAGTTCTGGGGCTCCCAGGCCAATCCCTATCGATTTGCGAAAAGGAAGTTTTGGGGGCCGGAAATCGAATTTTTTCTTTATTTCCCCACAGCGGGCGGACCGGCCTCTCAGCTGAGACCAACAAGCGAATGCAGTCTCTCTGCCCCTCTCGCCGCTATGCCTCGTCCACGCTCCAGCATCTCCTCCGTGCATACCTCCGGCGCGGTGCGGCGCCCTACCGCTCGCCGGCGCGTCTGATTGCCGCCGCGCCTCTCGGCGTTTGCGAACAAATCTCTCGGCGGTAAC